CTTGTTCCGGGCCGCCGTCGCCCAGCGATGCCTGCCGCGCAGCCAACCTCGGGGAAAAACAGAGGCGATTCGTTAGGTGACCTGAAGAGGAATTACAGCTTTTGACCAAAAAATCACCGCTAGCAGGTGTACCGACGATTAAGAAAGCAAATACCTATCTGTCTCAAGCTATTACAAATTACTATCAGCAACCAATAACAGCCGCTATCAATTGTATAGCAACAAGCAACATGGCAGCAGCAACCCATGACAGCAACAACCAAGCAGGTATTTATTATTGCAGCTTGCTACAAACTTACCATTAGAGAAGCAACTTATCAACCATACAACGGCAGATATCTTAGGGTAGATTACTTGTGTGGATCTGTAATAGCAGTATCAAGTGACTTAGATTTCAGAAGGGGCCAAGCCATCCTCCGGAGAGGAGGAGGCGTCGATGGCGGAGGTGGGAGGACAGGCCGAGCCGACCCCAGCAGCGGTCCCAGCGGGGGACCAGGACGTAGCAGAGCCCCACGTCAAAGGCGATCCCACTGCACCGAGTCTGGAGTCAGCCAGGCGTCCCCGGTGGGAGCCTGAGATCTGACAGAAAGTTTCTGCAGAGAATCCAGCCTGTTCAGGAAAGAACAAGTACACGCAGCATGGGAGGTTCTCAGAGAGAGAGGCTCCGTTTTGGAAAAAAATTAAGTCATTTTTAGATCATAGAGACATAAGAGGGCATAGGACACCACCCCTGTGAGCAGCCAATGGGTGCTGTTAATTTCTGTTTTCCACCTGGAACAGCCAATAGATGATGTTTCCTCTTCTTCCAGATCAATTTTTATTTTGCCAGACTGTTTTCCTGCTCTTGCAGTTAGAACAGCTGGTCACCAACTCTTACCTTCTCCGGCTGTTTTCCCCTTTCCCAGACTATTTTTCACCTTTTCAGATAAAAAGTTGCCATTATAGTTCCTTGTTTCTGCACTTATTGATGGTATCTCAGGATGCGTCTGGTTTCTCGATACCCAGCTGTACTTGGAAGAGGCCAGCTGCCCTTCTCAAGGATGCTTCTGGTTCCCAGGCGCACAGCTCCCAGGGTGGCACGCATTTTCTCTGCCAGTGTTTTTCAACAGACATCTTCTTTTGATCGGTCATTTTCCCTTTCTAGCCACATCACCTTTTTGGCTGCTCACATCAAGCTCCCCACAGCCCTGCTTTGCCTTGCCCATGGCCTGATTGAGCAGCCCAGCCTTGGCCCAGCCATCCAGGGCTGTGTCTGGTACTTTAAAACTCAATTGCCATTCTCTACTAAACCAAACAAACAAGCTTATACTTCAATAACACATCATCCAGCATTAGCTAAAGGCAGCATAATGATTTTAAATGTAATTAGCTTTACTGCTTTGCTAGACCTCTAGCTTCAATATATAGTCTATTTAATTGTTTAATTGCAATTACATTCAAAGCTAATCGAAGTGTGGGAACACAAAACTATTACTAAATATTTTTAATATTTCAAATTTCCTAAATGCACTTATTTTGGACTACGATGCCCATAAAGAAACTCAGTCCATTAGCAGGAGAAATGATCTTCATTCATAGATCTATTTGCAGGAATAATTATTGCAGCTGTGAATGAATGAATGAATGAAATACTTTGAAAAGGCCTTGTTATATTCAAAATGATACAAAATTTGCCATTTACATGGTGAGACAAAAGTATATGTTGAAGTCAACTACCTTAAAAAAACGCCTTTGCCTGTCCAGAGAAGCTTCTTAAATTGTCACTTTATGTCTTCTTTAACGTAGAAATATGCTTTCTAGACTGACTCCACAGCAGCCCATGGAACTACTTAAAGTACACTAACATGTACAAATGGATCCTGAATAAGTATTTGTATGTTAAACTGTTCATGAGTCTGTCTACCTAGTAATATCAACTCTTCTATTCTTTCACAAAATATGTTTAATTCCTGAGAAAATAGGGGAATAAAATTATTCATATCTTTGCTTAATAACCATGGTTAGACAGCAATAGAAAGCAAAGAAATTTGCCCCTGAAGCACCAATTCCATCCTTGCTTTAGCCATCATACTCCAATACTATCCGCAGGACATACACATGTCGAAATACTTTAATTCAGTACCATCAAGTGAGGAACAGAATATTATCCCAGTGTTTAATGTGCTTCATCAGAGCTCTGTTTAGGCTATCTCAAAATATATAATTTCAGAGTTATTACCAGACGTGTATGACAAATTCTGCTCTTTTTGTAACAAGTTCAGGTAATGGGATGTGGAACCATTTTAGGTTTAAACCAGGTAGCAGTATTTATTCCCTGCCTCCCTCCAGAGTTATCTTTCCTGCGAGACTTTTGTCACCAGACAAATATATATAAAGGTCTATATTAAAATCTTCCTAGACAAAACTTGAGGGAAATCCGATTCAATCTATTTTAACTGTGAAGTTTAGAAAATGAAGCTTTGTTGTTACTCTTTTAGTTTTTAGCAGGCGTGGTAGTGTCTGCTTTTTCATTTCTCCTATTTCATGACTGGTGTCATATATATTAAAAAAGCATTCACGACTAGATGCGTAGCTGTGTAACACTGCGTTGCCCTCAGTGAATTACTGCCTGGTCATATTGATTGGTCCACTTCAGAGTTAGGAAGTGGCTTATGCGTCGAAGGGCTGACACATTAAACTGCCTGTCATTTCCCCTCTACAAGAGCCATCCCTCTGCCAGGCAGCACCCAACACCTCAAACTGAACCCTGTGTATTTGATGACTTTACCCTCCAAGCTTTGGGGGCGGTGATGATGTGTATAAAAGCCGCCATACCTGGCTCAGCCCAAGTCCTATCCTGACGGGCCCCTGCAGCCCCGAAAGGCCTTGAGACTCTGGTGCTGCCTGTTCGCCCTGTGCCAGGGGCCACACTGCTTTCATCTTGGAAAGCTCTGCCAAGGCAGCAGGGCCTCCAGAGCGGGGCTCACAGCAGCCTGTGTTTCTCTCGCAAACTTGTATGGAAAAGCAAAGGGCAGCCCTGCCAGAAGCAGTCATTTGGTTGCGGGGCGCAGTCCCAAGAAGTCACGGAGATACCTGGGTGGGATTTGATGCGGCAATAAACACTACTTCTGCCTGCAACAGCCTCTCCTGCGACTCCACTGCCTCACCGTCCACACAGCGTTGATCCCTCCGCGGAGCGGCCAACCGCCTGCGATC